GGGGCGGGGCTAGGGTGGGTCCGCCCCCGCCTCTGCGGGGAAGGAGCGAGATTTGTTATCTTCTCTTTTACCGACTCCACCTCCCTCGTCCAAAAATAGCGATCAAGTGGGAAGACTGAGTCTCACAAAACGCCTCCGCGAGACAATAAATGCCGGCTTGGGCTCCCAAAACCTATTCTTTGAAGAGTAGCCTGCTGATGGTCAGGTATTGAAAGGAGATGGGGTAAGGACCGAGAGGCTTCTGTTTCCTATTTGTCAAAATGACAGAACTGGGAAGGACCAAGCCTCCTGTAGTGCTAACTTCATTTTTGAGGAAGGTCATTTATCGCTTATCTTGGATAGGGCAGGTCTCAAGAGGAACTGACAAACCACATGTAATCTGGAAATGTCACGCTGAAAGTTGCACTAGGAGAGGTACAGAAAACAGCCAGGAGTGTTTGGGAAAATGTAAAGATCATTGCTAACATTTTGGTGCTACAAGATACTGTGGGAAACAAATGATGAAGAAGTAAAACGAGCTTCCATATTTTCCCTTGTAGCGTTTTCAAGTTTCTTGAGCAAGATTTACATTCTATCCAAAATCAGACACAGTGTAACATACCAAGCAACAGTGTTCCCCCAACATGCTTTGTAAACGACCTACGCAGACTGTGTAAGTTTGCCGGTATTTTATTGTACTTGACTATGTTCTAAAGAGGTTAGAACATACTCATTTTAACTCTCTTGAAAATAAATTTTGCATAGACCTAAACTTTTAAGGAAGCTTTTTTTTTTTCATTTAATATTAAAATCAAGTACATTGTAAACTTTCTAATGGAAACATTGTATTACAATGTAATTGCTGTGTAGCCACAGATAGCCCAAACAAACCAACATTTTGGGAGAATTTAGAGTGTAAGATGCCTTTGAGGTAAAATAGTGCCAAGATTTTGTCCACCCGTTTACACACCAGGTGTAGAACACTAAGCACACTGATGTCGGTGCCTTCCTTATTTCTTCTAGCGCATCGCTCCCAAAGTATTATTCCCAAAACTACCTTATTTCTTACTAAAATCAACAACTTCTGGTTTACTTAATCTCCAAAGATAAAATCTAGACTAGCTTTCCAGAACCATCCTAACATCCTCCTGGGCCTCATGCATATTTACTATACAATGTAAAGGGAGCTAGCACAGTGACACTGTTATCTCAGCAGCTTGAGACGTCGTTGTTGGAGAGTTGTTGAGACTTCTCAGAGTTCAAGAATCTACAGTCGGATATGAAAGATCGTTGCATAGCTGTCTATGGGCAAGTGAGGAAGGGAGGTGGATGTGTAGGCAAGGGGAAGAAAAGAAGGCTGGTCAAAAAGTCCAAAGATACGTGGCCTCCTAAAGTTTCCAGGGCCTTTCCTTCCCCACCCTGTGTACTACTGCGCTTCAATTTTGACATCAGGTGCTGTTGTTGGCTTGCTGACTCTTTGTCCCTGCCTTTTCATTCTTGTTCTTTCTGCCCAATATCTTCTTGACGTCCATAATTCATCTCATCCAAGACACCCTGGCCCTATGGTTCCGTCTTTCCTGATCGTGCCCCTCCATAGTTCCCTGATACCCAACAGAATGTCCATTTCATTTATTTTAGGATTGAATTTTTACAAGTAATATGACTAGTCCTGAACAGTGTGTTTGTTGTATCAGTCCAACCATAAACTTGAGAAATAAAGAACATCTTGTAATCTTGTTGTACTCCTTATACTGTCATTACAGGAATGATTTAAAAAGAAAAACTGAGTCCTTTGAACTTAGTTTTCTAGCTTTTATGTTCTTCAGAATGGATATTCAAATTGATAAAATGTTTGCTCCAAGATATTTCTCTAAGGCCGTTTATATTTTAATTTATTTTGTTGTTATTTAAATATATTTTAAGAAGGACAACAAAGAACTATAGTTTATATTTAAAAATTAGACACCAGACCTAAAGAAAACAAGACAAGCCTGTAGGTAGCATTAGAATTGAACACAGCAACTCCATGAGTGTGCAATCAATGTGCAATCGCACCAGTGTATGTCTCCTACAAGGCAACGTTTATGTAAAATGCTGAAGGACAGATCAAGAAGAAAATCATGAGGCAACATGCTATTACTCTGAATACCTGAGGATCTGAACTTGTAACCTGCTTGTTTTCTTTTTAATTTATTTGATACAAGGTCTCACTACACAGTTTGGATTCATAGCGATCCTCCTGGCTCAGCCTCTCCAGGGCTGGGATTAGAGGCGTGTGCCACCATGCCCAGTTTCAGGGCTAGCAAGTCCCTTCCAGGCTGGCAGGGCATGTGGTACTGGAGATCGGACTCAGGCGCTTGCACTTGCCAGACAGTTGCTTAGACCACCCAGCTATCTCCCCAGCCCACCTGCTTGTTTTCTTTACAGTAGCTCACTTCACTCCTGTTTCTGAGCAACCAATAAGAATGGCTCATTTACTCTTCATCATCAAAAGAGTAAAGCACGATTATGCAGCAGAATGAACTTTATTGGCCTGTCTCACGAATTCATGAAACAACTCAAAGCAGGTCTCGAAATCCTCTTCACTGGACATACTGAATGGGAAAGCCAAAATGTTTGTTATTCATCTGTGAAGCCTATGTGCTCAAGTTTGAATCAGTGTCTTTTCTTTTTTTTCTCCATCCTGCTTGAAAAGTTGCCTTGACATTTTGCATCACACAAGCATTTAAAGAGATGTATCTATCCATATCAAATACCAATAAATCCTAAGGACTGTTCTGCAATACGCAGCAGCTCAGGGAAGATACCAGTATTGAATTCCCCAGGGCTAGCACTGTCCTGTAATGTGTTCACTTTACTTCTTACACTTTTTTTTACTTCTTTACAGTTCTTCTTATTTTAGGCTCATAGCTGACTTCTGTATTATGCATTTATTTTTTTAAATCATTAAGAAGTTTTTAATGTATTTACTCACTATCCATATATTTGGAATTATGTATTTATATGTAAATCTCCCTTTCAATATTTTATGAAGACCAGAAAAGGTAGGTTGAGGACCACATTCATGTGGCCCTTGTATTTCATATTTAGGGATTTTTTTTTTTGAAAAACTTAAACGGAGCAGTGCTCTAACACACACACACAACACACACACACACACACACACACACACACACACACACAGAGTCTTTTTATAAAACAGAATTATGTTCCTGGTTTGTGTCTGAACCTGCATAAATACAAGCTGCGCTGGCCTCGCCCACCCCGTTTCCCTTCTCTAATCTCCCTTCTGCAGCTCCTCGGAGCCCATCTCAGAACAAACACAATCTGCATTCAGAACAGGACCATTTGCAAGTTGAATGGAGTTATTTTGGGTGAGTCATTGAAAACACAGCACAAAACCTTTCCTCACTCTCCAGAAATGTGTTTTTAAAAATAAAGCCAAAGGGAACAAGGCTTGGCAAGTTTGAGGGTAGACAAAACGGGGAGAGAGCGGAGCTCCTGCCAGCTGCAGACAGGACCCTGGTACACTATTTTTGACTATTTCTTAACTTTCAACACCAATTCCCTCTACTGTCACTGACTAAAAAGCACCAGGTTGAGTAGGTAGAACATCACAGGAAGGACATTCTTTCAGCTAGCACTTTGACAGTGGACACACAAGGAGATCCCACCATAGCTTAGCAACAATGTTCAGTCCTCCTTTTTCATCTTTAACTTAGAACTAT